CACACACACACACACACACACACACACACACACACACACACACACACACGCACACACACACACACACACACACACACACACACACACACACACACACACACACACGTGCACACACACACTACTCAGGCGCACTCACGTCTCCTGGCGTATCCTTTTACAGCAGTCGCTAACACGTCGCCTGGTCTACTGCTGCCTGCATGTTTTAATATCGAGTGAGAAATTCCTGGGGCCAGGCCGAGGAATGCCTGCGCTTTGATGCCGAGTGGCAAATGGCGAACGCGCATTGATATGCGCACCTGTGCAGGTGGAGAGGACATGCAGGAAATGCCTGCACTTATTGCTGTCCTTTGTTTATTGTTGCTGCTAAATGCGGTGCAGTGAGGACTGTGCCAATGGATAGAGGAGCTACATATATCTGGCAGCAGTTCACTATAGCGCGTATTCACTGCACCCATGCCAGTTAAAGGCTTCACTGTGCGCTTTAAGGCCGATGTCAAAGGACAAGCCAAAGCAAGGCAAATAAAAGTTAACTGCATGCCCGGAAGCAGTAGCAGGAGCAGCAGCAGGAGCAGCAGCAGGAGCAGCAGCAGCACCAGCAGCAACAGCAGCAGCAGCAGCAGCAGCAACAGCTTCCGCTTCCTGCTTTGGCCTCAGCTCAGATAAAACTAATGTTGCTGTTGTTGTTGTTGTTGTTGTTGTAGCGTATATTATGAAATGCAAGTGTAATTGAAAAAGGCGCACGACGGCAGCCAAGGAGCGGGTCGCAGGTCCTTTAAGCATCGCTCATCCTGTTGCTATTTTAATTAAACAAAAAGCGTAAAATGTTTGACCATTCCTGGCGGACGAAAGAGCGAGGAGAGGGCGGGGCGAGGCAGGCTGCCTGTGTCTGTGTGGCTTACTGGCTCCAGCTGTTTGTTTGTCCAGCGACTTGTCTTTCGGCCACGTAAATATTCTTGGCCAACAAGCACAAAATTGTTTGCCCCCGATGTGGCCGATGTGCCCGATGTCCTGTGTCTCCTGTTGCAAAACAAATTAATTGTCTGTCGTTGTTTTCTTTTGCACATAAAGTTTTGCCGTCATGTCCTTGCGGTCGTCCCTGTTTCGTTGCTGTCGCAATTTTCAGCGCTCTGTTTGTTGCGTAAATTGCGGCCATTTTTGTTGTTGCTGCTGCTGCTCCTGCTACTCCTGCTGCTGCTGCTGCTGTTCTCTGTTGTCTGTTGTTATTTGCGCTATCTTTTCTCGTCTGCTGCCTCACTCGTCGCTCGTCTCACTCAAATTTCACTTGGCTTTCGCTTAGCTCATTTACTGCACAACTTGTTATAGCTTTTTGGGTTTCCATTTGCCATCAAGTGAGACAGACAGCTTCTGCCCCCCACTCTCACTCTCTCTCTCTCTCTCTCTCTGTTTTAGTCATAATTCAAATGTAATTTCATTGCCACCATCAGCTCCCCCGACACTCATAATTATTTTTTGATTAAAGATGCTCCTGTTGTCCGTCAGTTCGTCTGGGAGCTGGTTTTTCCCTCCCCGGTCCAGAGTATCTCGAATAACTGCCGATAAAATGGGCAAAGAGAGTGCACCCTTGTGCTCGATTGGAAGTTTTTTGCATGCTGCGTGGAAATTTTATGCTTTCATCAGAGCAGATTAAAAAATATACTCAAGTTGGAGCTGGGATCTGTTTAATAAACACTCCAATATTAGTGGAATGCCAAGGAATATAGGCAGGATTATGAAGTCTTGAGGATTGAATGGCAAGAAGAAGAGATGATGATATGAAAAAGGATGCGCCAAGGAGATACAAGTCAATAAGCAGCCAATAGGAATCGAATAGAAATTCAATAAGATTCGAAAAAGCTAATAGAAACATTGCTGAAACAGACGAGAGGGAGAGACAGAGTGAGAGAGATAGAGTTATATTTCAAGTGGAGCTCATTTGAATGGGAAATTGTTTTGCCCCAGAGCAAATGAACTTTATTTGAGCTACGACTCTTGACTCCGACTCGGAATAAGTTAATTAAATATTGGCCATAAAGTGCTATTACTCCATGCCATTCCATTGCGAAAAACTCAGCTGCGAGCCCTATTGAGGCTTCTTCTGGCTGCCTTTGGCCAGTTGAACTTTTAATTTCGGTTTTTCCGACTTGGGATTCGGGCTTTGGGGCGTTTATGGCTTTTCATTTTGCTGTCTATTATGTTTGCTTATTGAGCCTGGCCAGCTGCAGCTGCAGCGCTCGGACTGAGTTGCAGCTGCAAATGAATTTGCATAAATGCGGCCGGCAGTCGACGAGCTGCCATAAATAAATAAGTCTCGATGTCATTTATAAGCCCCAAAGTGTCCGAGTGTCTGTCGCGTGTCCAGCACGAAATGCAATTGAAATGCCAAAATGCAATAATCATTTTCTCAATTTGCCAATCAAACTGGCAACACGAGCACGGAGCTGCGAGTCGAGCAGAGAATTAAACTCTTCTCACATCGTTATGCGCTTTCAATATTTGATTGAGGCTCAGGAAATGCAGCTTTAATTGAATTTATAACAATGCTCGGAATGTATTAAAATATATTTATGACACTCGGCAAAAAGCGGAATAAAAGAGAGCAGACGGGCGTATTCAACTGTCTAATACTCGCTTGCAATCGCTTAACTATCGAATGACGTGAGAGCAGGAGCAAGAAATCGGAAGAATGTGTGACACGCCCACCATATATAATTTCTGTAAAGTTAATCTTTTTCTGATTCGACCCAATATACCCTCCAGTTGCCATTTCTGAATGGGCATCGAAATATGAGCATAGTTTTCATAATATTTTAACTATATGAAACAAATTGCATTTGGCTTATATTATTTCATTTTTTTTTTCCACTCGAATTCTCATTGTGCGCAGCCCGAGCAGAACTGAGCTGAAGCTGAATTTTCGTTCCCAGTGAACGCTGTCGCCGCATTTGCATTTGCATTCGCCAAATTATAACAACATTAAAAAAAAAAAAAACTAGTTAAAAGTTGACAACAATGAAACGTCAAAAAGCTTGAAGCGAAAAACTTTCAAACCGTGACTAAACAAAAACAACAATACAGATAAAGAGATATATATGTATATGTATACAAGTGTATATATATACATGTTGAAACTCTAAACCCTTTTATACTCTGTAGCCATCTGAAATGCAAATGGAGTTGTTCTTTATGCCAGAGCTGTCAAGGAATCGAAGAAGCTATGATATGATCGTGTTTGTGTCTATCTTTATGCAGAGATACCATCAGTGCAGCTGTGGATCTATAAGTTTTCTCGATTGATATACCAATAAATCGACATGTCGAAGTCGATATACTCTATCGATTGCCAGGAATGTTAATGTAAAGAATCGCTTAACTTTTTTATCAGAAGAAGCTCAAGTTTCTGAATAGATCTCATTGTCTTCCTCTTGCTCTTCAATTCACTCTATATCTGCATCTCCTTTTCGATAATTGTTTCGATATATATCGATGCTAAGAAGTAGCCGCAGCACTTGTTTAATATGAAACTTATTTTATATATTAAATATATGCATAACTGATTCGTAAATCTTTTCAGAGTCGCTCAACACTAATGCATTATCGATATATATCGATAACTACGCTTACAGCTTTAGCTGCAGTTAATGAGAGCCAGTTGAGGCTTATTTTATCTACTGCCTCAGCTGCCGTCACTTTACAGGGTATCTCTAGGCGTGCCACTCAATACTCCATTTGCAGTTAATGCGCCCACGCCTAGCTGCCACGTCTACCTTCTACCTTCTTCCTTCCTTTTTTGTGTTCTTATTTTTTTTTTTTTGCTCTTTGCTTTTGGCCCGTTTTTTGTTTTGCCCAACAATAAAAGCAAATTTTTCTAAAATTTCATGTCGCCTGTGTCGCTGCGCCGCAAGGGCTTGAGGGTTGAGGGTTGGACCTGCCCAAGCTATTTGCAATTTAACTTTTTGCCATACAGACACAGACACAGACACAGCCGTAGCCGTAGCCGTAGCCGTGGCCAAGGGATGGGCATGGTAAAACAAGGACACGTAGCCCCAAAGAGCTTTAGTTTTTAGTTGGCTTTTATTAACTTTTGTCTGCTCGAGTGTGTGTGTGTGAGTGTGTATATATATGTGTATGTGTGTGTGTGTGAGTGTATATATGTGTATGTGTATGTGTGTGTGTTCAGACAGTTCCACTTATTTTGGGCATAAAAGTTGCGCTATTACCGAGATTTGAGACGTTGCTGCTGTCCCTCACAAACGACTGGCCAATTTACAGTTAACTCGAATGTGGCTTAAACAAGCAGGGAGCTACCCTTTCGGGGCGGCGGTGCAGCGGCACGTCGAAGCACCACTTTATGCACAATTTAACTAGTGTCGATTCGTATTTCGTATTTTGTATTGCGTTTGCCGTTCTTCGACGGGCTCATCGACAAGAATTTGACTATGAATTGTGTTGGGGTTGGCAGCGGGTCCTTTGCCGGTGGTGCGGCAAGGCTGGCAGGTGGGGGCTCGACGGTTGAGGATGGTGGTGGTGGTGTCACATCGTCGCTCGGAGGCGCTGCAGTTGCCGCCGGCGTCGTCACTGTCATCCTGTGGTTCGGCGATGTAGGCTCGGGTGTCGTCGGGGTTTTCGGTCGCACCTGGACATAGTTGACTTGAAAGTAATCCGCTATGAACCGCGTGCTGACCTTATTTATTTTGAAGCCCTTGGACAGCATCGCGAAGAGTCCTTTGCCGCACATCTGCTCCTCGCGCAGCTCCTCCGTGGCGGCCACGTTGGCGTCGTGATCGCCCACGGCCGACTTGACAATCAGCTCACAGAAATTGCGAAAGACCTGGTGGCCCAGCGTCTACGGGTGGATAAATAGAGTGTCTTAGGAATTTGTTAAACTGCTTAGAAGACTACCTATATTCTCCCTCCCTCTCTCCCTCTCTATCTACCTATTCATTTTTAACTGGAATCATACGCAATACCAATATACTTACAGTTATCATCAGTTCGGCCACGCCCATGCGTTTGTAATGCTCGCCACAGTCCACGGTGGTCATGGCGAAGCAGAACTTGATCAGGAAAGGCGCGGCCAGGGTGAAGCATTCCTGCGCGTAGAGCAGGCGGCGCAGCAGGAGCAGCATGTTGTGGGAGCGCAGACGCAAGGCCACGTTGGCCGACTGCCAGCGCGGCACGAGGACGCCCCAGTCGGCGGAGTCGTGACTGCGATTGATGTCCACCAGCCCGAAGGCGAGCCACTTGTAGGCAATGGGCGCCTTGTAGTACAGGGGCAGCGGCAGCTCGGCGCCGTCGAGCTCTAGGGCCAGGATGAAGTCGAAGCAGATGCCGCGATCGGTGGCGCCCCTCTCCTCCGCGTACACCTGGTGGGCGAAGGGAATGCGGTTGTAGCACATCGGCCTGTACTTGATGTCGTAGATGGCGCCCCAGTAGCCGGCTATGAAGGGCACCTTGCCGATGACGTGCTGCATGTCCTGCTGCATGCGCAGATTCATGCACTTGGCATTCGCAGCGTCGCCGAAGAAGAATGGGTGCGAGTAGTTGCTTCTGTAGAGCTGAACGGTGCGCTGCTCCTCATTGAACCTGGCCGACAGCGCGACGGGCAGCCGTATGGGCAGGAATACCTCAAAGCCAAGCGGCATATCCATGGTAATCCCGCTAAGGAACGCGGCTGCAACAGATTGCAGTCACCTTGACTAGCTGCACAGCAATGGCAAAACAAATGGCAGTTGGCTTACCCGTTGTGCGCAGCGCACCCATGTGGTCTTTGAAGACGGAGTTGATTTTGTGCAGCTGCATGACGATCGCATTGATCAGCAGCTTGGCGTCGTGCACGAACCGGTGATGCTGCTCCTCGTCCCCATGGTAGTTGACCGCCATCAACTCAAATGTGTTCACAAAATTCAGCATTGCGATGATCCGTTGACATTTCGTTGTTCACGGCGTTGAAAACAAAACAATTAATTGCTCAGTGTTGCGCAGGGGCTGCTGAAGTGATAGAATTTAAATGCTGGCGTTGCCAGATCACTGCGATCGACTCGATAATGCGAAAGTCGATTAACAGTGTCTGTGTGTGTGTGTGTGTGTTTGTGTGTGTGTGTGTGTCATGAATGAAATTCAAATAGCATCCAATTACTACGGGCTTTACTACGACGCGTCTGCGCACTGGCGCCCAGCATCCACGTGGATGGACTCAGTGGCAGACATGCAGGCAGCAGGCAGCAGGCAGCGACTATGGCAACGGGCAACATCTCGAGCCAGCCACAATGCGAATTCAGTTGCTGTTCGACGTTCCTCGCGTGCGGTTGTGCCTGGTTCCAGCAGCGCATTCATTTGCATAGTTGTGTCTCCCTTTCGCACTGCCCAAACGAAGGAGTGAGTGAGTGAGTGAGTGAGTGAAAGCGAGCGCTTGAATCAAAACCGTTATGTAGAGAGCGCGCCCGCGCTGTCGCAGTCGCTGTCAACGTTTGTGTACGAAAGAGCGTGTGAGCTGGCAAAGTGCAATAGGCAGCCAAACTGCAATGGCAAGCAGCAACAACAATAACAATAACTGTAACAACAAAAGCAAAGCCAAAAGCAAAGGCAACGTGCGCGCTGCGTAAATAACAGCAGTTATCCATATACATTGAGTGCAAGTGTGTGTGTGTGCTTTTGAGTGCGTGCGTGTGTGTGTGTGCGAGAGTGCATTGGTGTAGATACTACGCGAAACTGCAGTGTAAAACAAAAACAACAAGCAACCCGGCAACAGGACAACAACAACAAAAACAACAAGAACATCGAGTGCAGAGGGCAAGTAACGGGAACTGCTTCACGCGCAAAATTTCGCTGATAAAGTTGGGGCCTAATGAAAGGTGCTTGGCCAGACTTTAGCCAGCTCGTGTTCAGCCCATGCTCCAGCGGTAAATTGAAAATAAATTGAATTGCAATAACAACAAGAAGAACAAGAAGAAGAAGAAACTAGAAGAAGTTTGTTGGACTTTTTCGCCCGTGTTGGTAAATGCGCCAAGGTGCAAAGTGTTTTTTTTTTTTTTTGCTATTTTCGGAGCAAATTGCATGCAAATTCGTTTAGTTCGCAACTCAGAGACTAAAGCAAAACGTAAAAAAAAGAGGAAAATAATAGAAAATCGCTTCTAATGGATTTTATTTTCAAGTTTGGTGCGAACTTTTCAATGCGGCCGCATGTGGCACGTTCACTTTGCGCGCCGCAACTTACGGCGGAGTGTGTAAACAATGCACTTTTTATGAACATCAACTAAATTGTGTGCGATTTATTTGGGTAGCGCCTTAAGCTGTTTAGTCTGCGGTTTCAATTCGGCGCTTTTGTTAACGTGGCTCTTCCGTTTCCACTAGTTGAATGTGGCGGGCGTTGTAAACGTGGCTAAGATTGAACAGACGGCGGAAACTTCTGTAATATTCACGAATTTTTCTTTGTGAAAATTGCGAATATTCATAAAAAGTTCAACTTCTCTGGAAATACCTTTCTATTTTATATGAAAACTAAATATATTTCACAGATTTTACTATCATAGAAATCGTGTAAAGTTTTCTCTTCTTAAATACAGTGAAACCCCCACGATTTCTATATTCACTTCGATTTGAGGCTCTCAGCTTTATAGACTATCTGTATTATAATGTTTTCTCTTTCTAAAATTATGTTTTAAAGAGTTTTTCGTCTGGTTTTTTTTTTTTTATATTAAAAGCAGAGCCCAAACTTTGAATTATGTTTCTAAAACTATTTTTGCTTATCAAATAACTCAGACTCAATCTTACAATTCCCAAACAGTTAAAGTCCTTTAAGCTTTTAAAGCCCTTTGAAATGTGCTTATAATCCTTCTGCCTTTCACTGAATATTTGATTCCCCATAAAGATTCTCTCGACGAGAGAAAAAGTATACGTTTCCTCCCAAGCATTGTTAAGCTTCAAAGAGTTTGCTCGCAACAAGAATATATATTTGCCAAGAACTTGAATTGGATTAAGCTCGGCGCTCTAATTGGAGGTCTTTCAAATGATGCTTTACTTAAGATAGCTCCACTTGGCCCTCTCGAACCCTGTGCAGCATATGTAATCCAAGGGCTCTTCAGCGCCCGTGTGGTGCGCGCGTGTGTCGCTCATTAAGTGCCCCGCCCCGCCCCGCCCCGCCCCGCCTCGATTCGACTTGACTCTGGGCGAATTGTAAGACACGTTTAGCAAGGCGACGCTTTGCCACGTCTGCCTGGCAGGAGGGGAGTCTCACCTTTGGCGTAATTGCCATTTAATTGTTTGACATCGTTTCGTTTCGTTTCGCATTGTTCTCTATATATAATTTATATATTTTATATGCTGTTGTTGCTGCTGTTGTGGTGTGCGCATAGAATTTGAAATTTTCTTTCATTATGTCGAGCTGCTGCTGCTGCTGCTGCTGCTGCTGCTGTTGGTTTTCCGTGTAATTAGACGGCAGCTGGCAGCTGCCAAGTGACTTATTTACTGCAATCGGAGTGAGGTTTTAGTTCGGCTCTGCCGTCGGCCTATGCTGCATATAAATAATCCCCAAAACCGGCCGGCAGACCAGATACAGATGCAGAGAGAGTGAGAGAGAGTGGGAGAGAGAGAGAGTGTGTGGGAGCAGCGTATTGATTTTATGAACGAGCTGCTGTTGCAGCAGCTGCAACTATTTTGAATGTTGCCGCCATGAGACGACAAACTATAAATCTGTCTGTGCCGGCATGCATACGCTATATACTACTACTATATAACACACGAGGCTGCACACACATGAAATTTATCGATTGACGCATACACACGCACACACACACACGCACGCACACTGGACAACAGAGCAGAGTGTGTGTCGTCTGCTGCTGATGTGTAGTAAAAATCGCTCGTATTTCATGCGGAAGTGACCACACACACACGCACACACACATGCATACGCACGCATGCACTCACAAAATGGCCGCCCATGTGCGTCCTCGTAGTAGTTGTCGTAGTAATTGTTGCAGCCGGCAAAGGCACGAAAGGATAAATGGATTGGTTTATTTAAATTTTACGTGCTCGTGTTGGAGCATCGTACGCAGCAGGAGTAGCAGGAGCAGCAGGAGCAGCTTAACCAGTTACTAGCCCAATTCGTGGCTGTTTTTTGGGCAACAGCTGCATGGGCTCGCATTGCGTATACGCAACGTGCGTATGCGCAATGTAAAGTGTTTTCGTAGTAAACACATGGAAAAAAAGGCTGCGAATGCGACGCAGTTGCTGCGGTTGTTGCTGCCATTAATTAGTCGAGCGGCAAGTTTCACTTTTTATTTTTTGCGACTGTCGTCCTCCTTGTTGTTGTTTTTGTTGTTGCTGTTGCTGCTGGCGACCCTAATCCATCATTTACCACAAAAGTCACGTACAGCTCAGGCAGCCTGAGCTTGAAAAGGAAACTTCCACTCGGAAGAAAGTTCATGTAACTTTAACACGCACACACATACATATACAACGGGGGTAGCTAGCGTGTGTGTGTGTGTGTGTGTGTGTCAGTTCTTATAGCTGCCAAGTTTGTTGTAACAAATTAAGAAATCACTTTCGCGCCGCCAGCAAAATATGCGCACGGAAAGTTGCCTGCAAGCCGGCAGTTGCAGTTCGAATACCCTAGCCAAATGATGGCAGTGGGTATATTGAACATAGGAGAAGTGAGGCGAAGGGTTTTAGAAAGAGCTACGAATGTGTTGATATAGATGTAGATATGTAGATCAATATGTTCCCTTTCTTCTGGGCTATAAGCAAGAGAAGTCTTTTCGGAAGAGACGTATGATCGCAAGCAAGAATCTTCTTTTGAATGTAAGCTGAGTATACATACTATAGGTGTGATATATTGTATATTATAGCATATGTATATGTATAGGTATATATATATATGTATAGATATGTAGATCTGTATATGATTCCCTTCCCATCTTTAGATATTGCTTTGCCTATAAGCAGAAGAAGTCTATCCGCAAGAGATGTATGATCGTAAGCAAGAATCCTCTATTGAATGTAAGCTGAGCATACATACTATAGATATTCTATATACCTATATATGTATAGCATTAACTGAATTATCAACCACTTTCTGTAGCTTTTCACATTCTCTTCTCCTCTTTTACATCACATTCCTCTTGGTTAGGATATTTAACAGCACATCAACCCCTTCATTCTCTATTTAAAAACCCATCTCGTAGCACTCCCTGCATTGGCTGTCAGAAGCGACAGCCTAAAAACAGACGCGACCCCAAAAAGTGTTGCACAAAACAAATGGCCAAAAAGGTCGACGCCATCTAGATATGATGTATGAATGGGCGCTGCTCCTGCTCCCGCTCCTGTTCCTGCTCCTGCTCCGCATGCATATTATATCTATTCCAATTGTGTACAACTGTAAATACATATATGTATATGACATGCATATATGTATATATATATATATATATTTACAGGCATATCTGTTGGCTGCTAACGTCGACCTGGCAAACAAATTTTTGTGATTGGCGTGTGACATTTTCAGCGCGAACGCTCACTGGATGCCGCTCGAGTATTTAAGATATTCGCATTTCTGTTTATGTCTGTCTATGTACATTTGATTGATGTGCAAAGTACTGGGCGGGGGATAGGGGGCAGGAAGGAAGCAGGGCACGCGTGTCATGGCCTCAGCTGAGGTGTCAGACGGGATCTCAAGCAAGAGGCGTTTGCGACGTGCAAACTTTGGTATATCATATAAAGTCATATATTGTTTATGGGCATGCCGAAAGTGAAGAAGGGTATATTGGCTTTCATGTTCGAATTGATTTGCTGACTGTCCGCCTATCTGTCTGTCTCTCTGATGCTTTGGAGCCAAGCTAAGCTATTGCAGACTGCCCTCGCCTGGGATTTTCAAGTGAGCGAGTATGAAGCAGTCAATGACGCCCGTCTGCTGCATTCCTGGTTAAAATAGTTTGAAGTGGAATAAATTTCGAGCTCGCGAAACTTGGATTTGAAGT